TGGGAAGAAGGACATAGCTTCAGTCCCTCAGAAAAATCAAGTTGTTGGTTTGTTGTTTTTTTTTAAAAAAAAGAGGAGAATGATTGTAAGCTTGCCAGTACTCAGAAGTTATATAAAATCAATCACTTAATTACAGCAAAAAAAAAATGCATCACAAACTGAGAGCAGAATCCTCAGGAACTTGAAGACGCTGTCTGTACGTGGTCAAAATTCACCATCAATTTCCAAGGAACATCTCAAAGTCACAGCTCTCAGGCTATAAAGCATTTACATAGGCACATAAAAAAGAAGCTTTTTCCAAAGTAGGAAAAGAGGTGCCACAAAATGTAAAAATCTCCCTCTTCCTTCTGCGCTGACAGCAGACCCTGGTGTGATCTACAACCCTTGTCCTCCTGCCCCTTCCTCTGCCTGGGTTTCCAGAGCAGCAGAATCAATCCACCCAGCCAAACTTCCGAGCAAATTAATGGACAACTACTGCTTTCCCAGAGCTGTTTGGGCAACGTCTGCCTCCCTGCACGTGTATTTTGTCTGGCACCAGGAATCTTGCTGAAGATGATCACACAGCTGAGTGGGACGAGATGCTGCAGCACCTCAGCCCCAGTATGTGGATGCTTTCTCCAGCTGTTCTCCCAGCAGCTACCCCAATGCTCAAGTTCCCTGCCCCAAGTCCTGTAGACTTTCCACCCCAGTACAAGCATAGACCTCCCAGAGCAACCCAATAAATGTTATTTCTCTGCCAAGAAATGTGCCAGCAGAGAAATGCCAACCCATGCTTCTGTAGACATGGCTTCTGTGTTTGAGGGGCTACAGGAGGGATGGTCAGAGGGAGGTTTCAAAGGGATTTACACAACTTGCAGGTTGGGAACTCCTCCTGAGCCTTGATTTCCCACCTGTGAAATGGGCTGAATGATACCCCATCAACTTTGTAATGGGCTTTGCTTTTCATCAATCCACTTCCACATCTAGGAGTCCACTGCCACCACCCTCACCATGCTGCTCTGGGGCTTTGGGAGCTGTTGGTCTGAACCAAAACATCCATTAATTGATCAGGAATTTGGCAGTATCACGTAACTAATCCCTGAAATATACATGGTACAACGTTTGCCACTGTGCACCAGAAATACGGCGTCAACACACACCACCGAGTCCTGCCCAAACTTCTGCCTTACTCATTTTTGTCAGTCACTCCTCAGTTTATTTTGCAATTATCTCTGCAATTCCCACTGAAAAGACAGGACACAATTTTAAGTACTTGAACAATTTTTTCACACTCGAATGGTCTTTACCCAAAAGAAGTCAGAAGGAAGCCTGGGCACTCAAATACACCCCAAGAGTCCCAGTCCTCAGACAAGACTCCATAAAATGGGAGCTTTAGTTTTTCTTAATTCAGCAGAGGGAAAGCTCATCAAATACAGCAAGCACCAACCTCTCCCTGGTCAGTCTATACTCGAGACTTGTTCTATCTTTTCAAAAGCTCTTTTCAATTACACAATCAAAAAAATCTGTAAGGACTATATCGAGAACAGCTCTAAAAATTGTTCGTACTTTCCCCGAGAGCTTACGTCAGCTCATCGGATAGAGGAGCCAAGAGAACAAATATTTCACAGAGCAGCCGTTGCACATAAATACTGTTCCCTGACATAGGTGCCCGGTGAATACAATGACATCCTCACATCAATTACCAGTACACTCCAAAAACACCGTTTGTAGAAGACAAATAAACAAACAAACAAACGTAAGCTTGAAATAAGAAATGATTTGAGATTCTAGCAAGCCGCTTCACCTTATAATCTTTATTTCCTGAGACACATTGTGCTGGTTCGTATTCCAATAACACATTTGTGTAACCGCACAGGTACAAGGGAAGCGTACAAATCACGTCTCCCAAAAACAACTGTTGGCAAAGAGCAGGATTTGTGTATTCATCGCTCACCGTTGAACAGTTACACACATTTTAATTCCAATCTCAAACACAATTTGTACCGCGGCAGATGTTTCCTATAGCGCAGGCTTCCTTTGGATGAGAGTTAATTCAGTTTGAACATGGCAGCAATGAAGGAAGGGATTTAAACAAATATTTTCTGCTTCCTCTCTAAGCTTGATGCTGCAGAGGTAAAAATGAGGCAGTACTCAATTGAACAGCTAAACCTGCCTCTCCCAGCCTCGGCTTTGAATTCAGACCAGCCCGTGCTTCCCTGCCACCAAAGCCTCCCCTCTCTGTGACAGCAGCCTGGGTCAGAAAGAAATCAAATTATTTTAACGAGGTTCTTTCAAATGCACACTGATGTAACCAAGAAGAGAATATGCCTCTTGTTTTAGGCTGCTTAACTTTCACCAAAAAAAAGGGGGCATGCTCCTCTGCAAAACTCTTCTTCCTCTCCCCTTGTTATCCTCGGCACCTTCCTCCTGTTACTCGACATTAACAAGCGGATCATTATTTCACCAGCCGCAATCAAAACCTTCCATAAGATAAGATCCAACTGCCATTTCACATTCACGTAGTTGCCCACACTGCAGAGCCCTGAAATGCTCTTCACGAGTTGTGTGCACGGGGATCGTCTCGTCACCCATCAGCCAAATGGGCTCGGGAAGCAACAGCTGCTTAAATAGCGCACACGCAGCGGAGGAGTTTAAGGGGAAAAGGAATACTATAAATAATTGAAATCACAGTAAGAAATGTAGGCAGAGCTGAGG